TTATTAATAAGCAAATAAATATTTAATGACTCAAGTGATGGAATGCTAACTATTTAGTCAACAGATAAGAGTTAGTATAAGACAATTGGCAAGAGTTTAACATTTCAAAGGTTAAGAACTTCTTAATAAGAAGTTTGATAGCCATGTCAATTACACATCAATTATCGTATCAATAAGTTTTGTCATCATTGTATTTATATTTTATTATATTTGTATTATATTAATAATATTGATGCCAATGTCAGTAAGACTACCGTATATTAATAGTATCATAAATTTATTGATGAAATTATATTGACATATATTTGATGGGAATTGAGATCACATGAAAGCAAAGGTTATATATAATATCAAAATACTCCTAAAATACTTTTAAACAAAACATAATTATAAGTTATGGATAGTTATGCTTTAGTAATAATAATAATATTAATAATAAAGTATTATTAATACCAAAAGCCCTGGTATAAAAATAATATCAAAATACTCCTAAAATACTTTTAAACAAAACATAATTATAAGTTATGGATAGTTATGCTTTAGTAATAATAATAATATTAATAATAAAGTATTATTAATACCAAAAGCCCTGGTATAAAAATTATAGCAATATAATCTAGTTACACAAATAGCAAATATAGAATTGACGTCAAATTAATTGATTGCCAAATATAAATGTAAATTGTTATGACAAATGGACATTCATAATAAATGAATTTTGTTATTCTTAGTTCAGGTATTTTTAATTAAACTAAAACAAATTCTTACAGATTATTGAATATACAGTAATACAGTAGAAATAAGTAGTGAGTATTGCATTCATAATGAAAACGAAAGTCTAAAGTTATGTCAATATTGGAATATTGGATAAAATGTGTGGTATTTTCATGTAATTACTGATTAAATAAATAGTATGCTTTTCATAAATATAATAAAATGTGAAAAACAAAGTTTTAATTAAACAAATAGATTATGAATTGTATTAATGAATAGTAAGTTAACGACGAGAGAGGGAGAGAGAGAGAGAGAGAGAGAGAGAGAGAGAGAGAGAGAGACTGAGTGTTGCGTTCACTGCAGAGCCAACACATAACACATGACTTTGTGATTGCTTCGGCAATGACTCATTGTTTTGGCAAACATTGTCTCAAATGTGAGTGTTTTGTGTTTCATTGCATTCACTGATTATTGAGTTAACAGTTATCACCACATCTGCCACAGTCTTCACCACATCTACCACTCGTCAGACAGTGTGTCGACACTCACTCCCAAGACATGAATCCGTCCGACAGACACACCATTCAGACAAATATGGATTTGTTGTGCAAAGACATTGATTTGAATCAAAATCTCTTGAATCAGTTGATCAACAAAAATGTGTTCACACCACAGATGATACAGGACTTCATGGTAATTATGACCTGGATTATTGCATTTTATTTATTGCTATTTAATTATATCTATACATTTAAATGATTGTTATTTTCAATGATAACCAATACCCGGGTAAACACAGTGAGGTATTATTGTGAGCCGGCGTTTGACTACTATTTGTATGATTTGTGTGTCTATTAAATGGTTATATTGGTTGTAATGGCGATGAGGTGGTGGTCA